ATATATATATATATATATATATATATATATATATATATATATATATAGAATTTTTTATTAAAAGTCTGATGCATACATAGCATACCATTGGTAAAGATTTATAATTATATTTCGGATAACAGAAAAAATACAGTAAAATATCAGTTCGCTACCAGGAGATTTTCTAAAAAGTATTATTCAAATAAATATTTATAGAAGGCTCTCATACGTTTTTTTTTTTAAATTTCTTTAAAAAACTTTTCAAAATGATTGATGCATTTCGAATATTTATCTAAAATTACCCTTCCATTATTCATTTTCATGTTAGAAATAACAACCCATGACGATTAATAGTAATTATAAATAAGCAGACTATATATATAAAGTAATCATGCTGCTATTAAATGCTATACATGAGATACCATGAGGACACAGTTGCAATTTTGACTAGTCTGATTTAAAGAGCAATATAATAATATAAATGCATAAAGTAAATTAAAAGAATATGGTACATTATTATCGAAAAATTTACTTACGAGCATTTTATGTTAAGATTTTCTAGATTAAAAAATATTCAATAATAATTACTAATAATAGTTATTTGTAGTAAATAAGAGTTATTTTTCACAACAAATTTTGTTTTAAGAACAGCAACTGTTAATCAAATTAACAATATTGTTTTAATTTATCTTCTAATTATTCACATGTTAAAAATATTAATTCAATCATAATACATACTAAAATTAATGAAAATAAATATATTACAATAAAAACTTTGTCTAATAAGTACATAATAAAGCATTCAATTATTTTCAACAAATTATATTAAAAGTTCTTATGCTTGACTAAATCTTATTACTTATTTATAAAACAATTATATATAAGATAAATTCACCTAAGTCTACACATAAAATACCTTATGAAATAAAACATATTAAGAGATATAAAAATATAGGATGCCATTTTTTATTATAAAAATGGCAAAGTAAAAAGTAAAAACGATAGTACACGTGATTATAAAGACAATTGTCTTGACTTTTGCAACTGAGCGTAAAAAGACTTCTTTTACATTTAACAACTTTTAGGAGCACACTTAATTTTATTTATAGCTAAAATTTAAATGTAAATACGAAACAAAAATAAAACTGAATAAGATTGAATTATTTAAATTCATATAACCGGGAATTCAAACAATTCATATTGATAGTAAAGTTGATTACTTACAAGAGATTGAAGCTATTCATTTCTTTTTGTGAGTACCTAAAAATAAGAATGAGTGACTTAGTACCATTTTATTTTTACGAAGATTTAAAATACTGTTTACATGCATATGTTAAATACTTTGCCTTTACTTTTAAATTTCCTCTAGGAATTTCTACATTTAAATATGGAGCTTCAGGGATGTTTCGAAATCGTTCTGATCTAAAAGGTATTGCGGAAAGCTTTTATTTCCATTGGAATACTATCTATCCTATGGTATTGTAAGGTTTCTCTGTATTTATGTCCTCCAAATAAATAGGGATACCATAAAATTGTTCTGTTGCAACGGTTTCTTCTTCATCTGTACTCCTCTGATATCTATAACTTTTGTTGGAAAAATAGTGTGGTATAAGTTAGTTTTAGAGAAAGCTAAAATTACGATATAGCAAAATCTGAGTCAAGTAATTCGTATAAAATTTTAATTTGCTTTATTTGTTTTCTTTCTATTCTTACAAATAAAAGCAAAATTAAAATTATTATTTAATATGATTTATAATTATTAATATTTCATTTATTATTTTTTAATAATTAATATTTTAAAATAAAAACTATTATTTAATATATGAGTAGTTTTGTCTTACACAGTCTTTAATAACTGCCATACAATTCAAAACTATGAAACTTAATTATGCTGTATAAATAGAGAGTATGCACCGAATGCATTGCAAACAGTAGTTTTTGCAGGAAATGATAGAGAAAGTTTAATAATTCATAAGCATTATTTATAGATGTGTTTGTCATTACCCTCTAATGGACAGTAGTCCCTCGGCTAAATTCCCAATTACACCAAATATCATTTTGCACAATGAATTGTATAATACTACAGTCCTCTCATTCTGTAGTGTGAAAATTTAGTGAGTGAGATATCAGTTAAGTTTCTGTTGTCGCTATTCAACTATTAGTTGAATATAGTTAAGTTAAAACTGCAGAACATCGATAAACATTTATTTTCTCTTTCAATGAGTGCTTATATAAATGGCTTACTAAAAAATTATGTTTCATTTTTAGAAGTTTGATTTAAGGATAATTTACTGTCAACTTATTTCTGGAATTGAAATTTTTATTCCTGCTTCATTTTATTGTTCCTTTGATAGTTATATTTATCATTTATAACCGAAAGCCTTAAAATATTAATGTATTGACAAAATTCTAATATCTTGGATCATCTGAAGTTTGTTGAATTTGAGAGGCAAAAATTCTGAATAATTAAACATCTCCGAAAACAGTTCAATAACGAAAAAGAACTTCAAGCACAATTTTCATCAAGATAGTTTTCATTATGTATTAAATGCAAATATATCTAATACTTTCAGAATATTCAATTTCTATTATAAACTACTTTTCACCTTCTTATTCTGCTTTCTTGCTTTATCTCATATCTTACATATAGAAAGTTTCTTTTCCTCTTACGTTTGGTTTCACTTCTGAACTAATAACTTCACAACTTTTACCTTTTGCTTAATTTTTAGCTTTTGTTTAGTTATTTAACTTTTGTCTAAAAGAATAGATTTGGTTTTATAACAATGACAACAACTTTATTCTTTTATGCCTTTATCGCATTACACTGGTGGTGAACTACGCGGTCTACGGTTTCGAGCGTCACCTACGATGAGTTACAGAGATCTCTCTGAAGTGGTTCTTCTCTCGCTAGGAATTTTTGTAAGCATCAAACATACTCTCCCCTTACAAAACGATCTCTACAGGGGGAAGATAACATTCAATCTTTCCGATATTACAGTCGTCCTCGATCGAACAAATTTACTATTAAAACAAAATCATTACACTCAATAATAACTAAATATATCATTGAAACTAAATATTAAGTTGATATATAACAATAACGAAAGACATTACTAATTTGCTCATGAGACTCTTACTTATTATACAGTTTAATATAATATTAGTTATTATGCTCTTCAAAATATTATTGTACACTTTTAAAATATCACTTTCTGACATTTTAAAACATTAATCATCACACACAATTCAAAACATTAGTTTCGTATGCATAGAAAATGCTAATTCTCATAGAATGGTAACATGGTAAAATGCTTAAAAACTTATCTTCAGGTTAATCCTATAGAAAATTCATTTCTAATTTTAATAATCTATGAGAAAATAACTAATCGGTAATTTTCTTAATAAATTAAAAATCCTTTAAAAAATCAATCAATTATCCTTAAAAATATTCGTTAAAGAAAATAACAAATTCTTAAATTTAATGTCAGATAAAATTTGTTATATTAGTATTGAATTAATTAGCATTACAAATTTCATAACAAAAATAGAACAAAAGGATCCATAATAATGCAGGCGGAGTTTGTTAAAAAATCTATTTTTCTTTTCAAATAAACATCTTATTTAATGTCTCTAAATTCTATTCAAATCATTCTGTGGTTCAATAAAAAGGGAGGAAAGGAATTTTCTCACTACTTTTGCTTCTTTTAGGATTCCGCTGATCATCGATATAGAAGAGGATCTAATTATCTTTCGCCGGCAAAATCCTGTCCTCACTGGCTCCTTAATTTATTAATTGTGAGAGAGCATTACCCAGCTATCGCACGTGCTCTTTCAGCTCTTTCTTTCCCTAATTGGGCATTCCACAACGAAGTTTTCAAAGCTTTTACAGCAGGAGGAAATCTTGGTTTACTGTTTCTTCATCTATAGGCGCCGAAAGATCATGGTATGTAACTATACTTCAACGGAACTTACTTCCTTATGATCGATAATGAGGTGGAGTGACCCTTAATCTCCATGATTATACCCTATAAAATTGTTTCCCCCCAGGATGTAAAAGGTCCAGTATCCCTTCCTGTGCGTCACATTGCTTTTCTTCTCTTTGAATAAATTTTTCTCTTTTCTTCAGAATTTCAGTTGGCACGGAGTATTATTTATTAACTTACCTCGTAAGAAACGAGTAAACATTTTTAAACGCAAGCCTACAGAAAAGAGGCACATTTTTAGAAAGCAACAATAGCACGTATAGTC